ACAGCAAATATTTGGGGGAATAGTAGTAAATAATAGGGGAATAATGGATAAATAATATGGAGGGATAATAGGAAATATTTAGGGAATGTTTGGGGAATAATAGCTAAATAATTGGAAGAAAAATAGAAAGTATTTGGGCAATAATAGCAAGTGTTTGGGGAATATCTGGGCAATAACAGGAGAATACCTTAGGGAATTTGGGGAATAATTGCAAATATTGGGAGAACAATACCAAATATTTAGGGAATATTTGGGAAAYAATAGTGAATTGAATATTAAGAAATATTTGGGAAATGCTTGGGAAATAATAGCAGATTGAATATTAGGAAATATTTGGGGAATGTTTGGGAAGTAATAGAAAAATAATTTAGGGAATATTGGGGTATAATAGCCAATAGGGGAATAACAAAAAAAATTTGGGCAATAATAGGCAAATAGCTTGGGGAATGTTTGGGAAATAATAAGAGCTATTGGAGGAACAAYACCACATATTTAGGGAATATTTTGTGACTGTTCGAGGAATATTTGGAGAATATTTTGGGAGTAACAAAATACTTGAGCAATCATATGACAGTARCTTAGGGAATATCTGGAAATAACARGGAATATTTGGGAATAAYAGGAGAATAGCTTGGAGAATGTTTGGAAAAGGAACAGCAGATATTGAAGGAATATACCAAATATTTAGGGAACATTTAGGGAATCTTTTGGGGAATATTTGGGGAATCACAGGAAGTATTTGGGCAATAATAGGCAAATAGCTTGGGAAGCGTTTGGAAAAAAATAGCAGGTATTGGAGGAACACCACCAAATATTTAGGGAATATTTGAGGAATACTTGGGAAATATTTGGGGAATAACAGGAAAGATTTGGGTAATATGACAGTAGCTCAGGGAACATTTGGGCAATAATAGGAGAATAAAYTGGGGARTGTTTGGAAAAGAATAGSAGATGTTGGAGGAACAMCACCAAATATTTAGGGAGCATTTAGGGAATATTTAGGGAAGAATATGGCAGTAGGTCAGGGAATATTGGGAGATCACAGGGAATATTTGAGGAATAGCAGCAGAGCAGCTTGGGGAGGTTGGGCTGGGCTGGGCTGGGCGGGAGTTCCGGGACTGACTCCAGCATTCCCGGCCCCTCCACAGCTGACCCACGGGGTGATGAACAAGGAGCTCAAGTACTGCAAGAACCCCGAGGACCTGGAGTGCAACGAGAACGTCAAACACAAAACCAAGGAATACATCAAGAAGTACATGCAGAAATTCGGGATCCTCTACAAGCCCAAAGAGGACACGGAGCTGGAATAGCCCTGGAAGAACCCTCGGGAGCCCCGATTCCCAGCAGGATTCGCTGTTCCAAACCACCAACCTGTGAATTTATTATTATTATGATGATGACTCGTTGTTTTTTAAGGAAAACAAACTGTGTTGCCGCTGCCGAGGACAAGCCGGGCTTTCCCGAGCCTTTTCCCGCTCCAGGCTTTCCCGAGCCTGGCTCTCCCGGCGCTGCTCTCGAGCTCTGTATTATATTTTAACGTATATGTGAATATATTGATAATAATTTGCTTTTTTCCCGTTGCTTTCAGCCCCAAACGTGC